CCGAGGTGGGATTGGGAGCATTCCCACCCTGACATTGATTTTTCAATTTTTTTTATTTTACCTATATTATTAACCTTGAATAGAAAATGAATTTATTATATTAACTTTATATATTTTTTTCCTAATTTTGCAGGTCTTGCCTACAGAAATCTCAAGCATAAATGGCAATAATATATTATTTAAAAATGGAAAATATTACCCATTCGATTCTATAATATTTTGCACTGGCTTCAAAAGGTCAACAAATCTGTGGTTGAAGGTAAACCACTGTTTATAATTTCATATCATTGATTAAGATATGAACAGACGTTAAGTTTAGAGATCTATTAGACATTTTTTTTAAGTTTATATACTAATCAGACATAAAGTTTTTTTTTTTTTTTTTTTTTTTAAGAAATGAAATCGAATAACATAAATGATATCGATGTAGGGAGATGAGTATCTTTTGAACGACGATGGACTACCGAAACCTAGCTACCCTAACCATTGGAAGGGAAAGAATGGGTTATATTGTGTAGGACTATCAAGGAGAGGGCTACATGGATCTAATTTTGATGCTCAAAACGTTGCTAAAGATATTGCATCTCAAATCTACAAGTGTGGATAGAAGAAAAAGAAGAAGAAACGGTGGATATTAGTTAACCAAATATATGCCAAATATATATATATATATATATATATATCTCTGATTGGCCATGAAATATTTAATATGTTACGTGGGAATCGATCTTAATCATGAATGAACTATGAATTACTTTATGTGAAGACTTCTCCTTTGATTAAGTAGAGAGCTGGAGACTAATCTTACGAGATGAAATTCGCTCTTTCCTAGATTAAGTAGATGAATAGTTCCTTTTAATTTTGATAATAGAACTTGAACAATGAGACTCCCTTCGGGAAGAATTTAGTTTATGGTTGGATCATACAAAATTGTTAACTACTGAAATATGTAATTACAGAGATAAAACGGTTTAAATTAGAGAATTGTAGATTTAAGAACGCTTAGATTATGTATGTGTTGTGAGAGCGGTTTAGAACGTTCTTTAAAATTACCTTCTTCGATGATACAATATAGTAAGACATATATCTGAATGGGATGGTATCTTAAAACTTAAGGAATTGTTGATCCAAGCCTTCCAGCCATGGCTTTCCTTTAGTGTCATCAGCTTTTTCATCTTTTGATCAGCTGGCAATGGGGATGGTGTGGCTGCCTTCTTGCATAGCACAAAGTTTCTTGCTTGCTTTGATCCTATGGTTTCCCTTGGATTAAGAGCTGCCACAAAACATGAACCCAAACCATATCATTGAGTAATACTTTTGTTGCTACACATCAAACTTTGTTGTGTATGCTTTGATCTAATAAAGATCATAAGTAGATTATTTGAAACGATGTTATACGGGTCAAGTATTAGGGGTGGACACGGAGCTAATAGGAAAAAAAAAAATCTCTCCACTCCTTTTATTATCTATTTAAACGGAAATTTTTGACCTGATATGGAGTAGATTCTTGAGGGACTCGAGTCTCATGAATTAAATGTAGCGATAGCTCATTTTACTTGCAGAGACCCGTCCCAAATGAGAAGGAGATTCCTCGTTTGCACGGAAAATGAGAGAGTGAAAAATATTTTTTTCTTGTTAGATAAATAGGGTTGAGGATGAGATCATATTCCTTGTGCTCGCCCACCTAATATAAATATATCTTCATCACGCGCATATATATATATATATATATACTTTTTGATTATAATATTTAAATTAAAACCTAATTATAAAGACTATATTATAATATTAAAATTTTAAAAATATAGTTGAGAGTGAAATACATGGATTTCTTAAGATTTTTTATAATCTTTTTCTAAAATTACATCGAAAAATAACAACTTTAAAATAACTATATTGTTTTAAAAAGTATAACAAATTAGAAAAAATTATCTATCGGAAGTCTGATCTTCACAAAAAATAAATAAACAATTTGACATGAAATAGGATGGAGAAGTCTTCCGGTCCCCGTCCCATGAACATCTCTAGTTACCATTTGTTCTTTAGAAATTTTTTTTCGTTTCACTCTCTTTCATACTCTTTCCGTCTTTCTTCTTTCCCTCTTCGTTTTTCCTCGGACCTTAAGCTCCATTTTATTCTAATCTCCATACGATCATAATACGAAAACCAAAACCAAACGGATATTTTAACCCAAATTTAACGATTCAAAAAATATAAAAGAAGCTATATAAACAATAAAAAAGAAGAATGTTAGAGAAAGGGTAGCAGAAAGTACAGGCATATGGGTCCTCGGAATCAGAAGAATAGAGAAGAAAGTTGGAAGCATGAGTGCCAAGAAGAGGAAGACGAGCTTGACGAGCATAAGATTTGAGCGCAGCATGAATAACTTCACACACCAAATCTTCCTCCTTCGCCACAAATCTTAATGGACCTGAACTTCCCACAACATTTACACTGATCAGCAACCTCTTACCACCCTCCACCCTTTCCTTGTTCTTCAACCCTAACCCCTTCATCCCTCTCAACTAACACCTATGATGCCTCTCCCAACCACTCAGCACAACAATCCAATATTTATAACACAACAACTTTCAATATTTTATGTATTCTTTTATCTTATTTTAATACTAACCCTACTTTCCTTCTCGTTTTTTCCGGGTTCAAAAAATTTGATCGATTTGGGTACAGTTATTATGAACTGGGTTGGTTCAATTGTAACGGTTCAGACTCACCGCTAGCAGATATTGTCCTCTTTGAACTTTTTCTCTAGAACTTCCTCTCAATACTTTAAAATGCGTCTTCTAGGGCCTCCTCAACTAATGTGGGATATCACAATCCACCCCCTTTAAAGCCTAGTGTTTTTAATGGCACACCACCTTATAGATTCATTTGCGAAAACAAAATTTAAAGAAATGACCAGAACAACTTGAACCAATCAATTCAAATAATTTACCGTTGGTGTACCGTTATGAACTTATTTGAGTTAGATTGAGTTGAGTTGTCGAAAAATAAATATTTTGTATAGTTTATATTATAATGTTTTTATAAGCTTGGTGTGAGGTTGAATTTATAATTCGTAATATTAAAAGAAGAAAGGGTTGGGTCATGTAAACAAAAGGGCAAGGGTCATGTCTACAATTATTATTCTATTTTATAATGCATATTAAAAGGCATGCATTTTATTTTTATTTTTATTTTTATTTTTATTTTTATTTTTATTTTTTAATGATTTTTAGTCAATTATTGGTTTCAACTATGACGACCATTTTTTTAATAAACAATGCCAATAATTATTTTTATTTTTTTTGAAGAATAAATAATGACATTATTTCAAACAATGCGACCAATATCTAACAAACTTAGGATTAAAATGAAATAATATAAATTAATATTATTAGATTCTTCTATTTAAAAATTAATAAATTGTTAAAATTCTATTTTTTGAACGACACGACGCCGTATCCACCGAGAAGATCTCCATTTTATTTTTTTTTTGAAATAATCAAACAAGCGGATTTGAAGTTATCAAAAGTCAAAATCAAGTACAAATTGAAATCCGTACATAAATGGCTATTCCATCCAATCAAATCAATCAACTCTTTTGTATATTTATTTTTCTTTTAAATTTAATCTATTATTGACGACACCATTTAATAATTTCAATTATTATTATTATTATTATTATTTTTTAACTAAGCTGTTGATGTGCGGATTTGGTTGGTGAGTAAGTTAAGTCGACTTAGCCATAAACGACACGAGAGACCTGCAAAATAGAGATTTTTCACGGGTGTGGTACTCAGTGTTTGTGTCGATATCAAACAAGAAGTGGTGTCGAGTTCAACACAGGTAGCAAGTCTTGATTGAAGTGGACTACTATATTAATACTTATTTCACATGATACTCTTGTCGAGCCCAATAATAAGTCAGTGGGAGAGATATGTTGGGATCTTTGACTCGATCATAATTTACTTTTTGCTTTCTTTATCTTTCGATATTCAAAACTCACATTATAAGGTCATCGTTATTGAGTGCTAGTATACTATTGATATACCGACAATAATATTGTATTAAAATTTTCATTTTAAATGAATATTGATACGCTATTGATATACTATTGATATATAAGTCATACACATATGTAGTTTCTATTCCTTGTCGAATTTTAAGATGTAGCATTAAATAGACGAGCTTTAACTCACTTAAAGCACTGAAAACATGTTTTAAGTATTCATGCACGCTTATTAGACAAATATTCCTATTAATCACCAAAACACAAATTCCATAACCTATAAACATACAAGTAAAGGGGGAAGAATAAGCACAGCTACACACATGAGTAGCCATGTCTGTCTAGGCAACGCATGCGCACCTATTTTACGACACATGACACAGATTGGGTCAGGTGGGCGGTTCGGGTCGTAGGTTTCAATTTGCTGGTGGTGGGTCGCATGCAAGTTATTAGGTCGGACTATACTTGCATGTCAAATTAAGTCATCCTCTAGTGTCGTGGCGTGTTGCATGTCTCACACTTTGACACGTGTCCTCCTTCGTAAGTTAACGCATGTTCCACTCTTTGACTTACATATAAAAGATATATCAAAACCTACATTAAAAAAAGAACCAAAAATGGATCAAATACAACACAAGATCAAAAGAATTGGCTAATATTGAACAAAAACATAACAAATCTAACAAAGTATGAAACAAATCGCAACCTTAACGGATGAGATAACGGTATCAATGAAATCAAAACCACAAAGAACAAACAACAAATCAAAACCAAAAAAACATTTAAAAAAAATAGCAAAATAGCTAACTCAAAAGACGATGATCTAAAAGATTTGATTTTGAGATGTTCAAGTTTAAGTGGTTTGAGCTAAGAGGATCCAACGATGATCGAAAAGATTTGTTTTTGAGATGTTCAACTTCAAGTGGTTTGAGCTAAGAGGATCCAACCCAAGGGCCAAGGCTTGCACACGTCAATAGACTATATATGTCCCCCTCATCACAAAAGGGTTTAAGCCTTGAACAAAACCAAACCCACCAATTTTCAACTTAGGGTTCTTTCATTCACAACTTTCCTCTTTTTCATCGTTCAAGCCAAAGGAGAACAAATCCGTAAGTTGTTACTGCTTCACGGTTTTCTATGTTTCTTTTGATTTACGTTCCCTTCTTCTGTTTTGTTGATACTATTATTCCTCTGGCTGATAGCAATCGCCGCCGCTAAGGTTTTTCTAACTATGGCCGACGAAAATCACAAAGAAGTTCCTGTTCATGAAGACGGGGCTTCAGAACCCAGTAATGGGAATGATCAGGATTCCGTCGAACTTGCTCCGGCGTCGCAAAAGGACGGAGATGATGTGAAAGGTGAATTGTTTTGTTTTCATAGCTGGATTTTTGTTTGATTCTGATTGTTGAATGAATACAGAGAATCGTGGGGAAACCCTTATTAGGGTTCCAAATAGATAATGAAATTCCCTAAGAAAATTTGAAGGTTTCATATCTTTTAGATTGATTAGCTTCAGATTAGGTCCAATCAGTTGTATATGCAAATGGGTTTTGTTGCAGTTGCTTAATGTTCAATTTAGAGTTGAGTTTATCATCTTTTTTATTTGTTGTTTGCTTATGACAATACTTCATTATGCTCGATAGCAAGTACTTTGGCTAATTTTATTGTGTTAAGGATTTGAAGATAGCTTTTAAATGACCTAGCTTGAGGCTTAAAAATTTGGGTCGCATAGCTAAATGGTTTGAGAAGTTTCTTTTGTATATTGATGCTTTGTATCTCAGTGTTTTGCTGTTGTGAGTTAATATGAGTGATATCCTGTTGCTGGTGGGACTTGTCTCTGGTGGATAAAAGGGCTTTTCCACCAGAGCCAAGTCCCCAGAACTCCCCAATATCGTCAATCATTTAGTCGACAAGCAATTCGTCCTCTTTCGATTTTTGTTTTTGTAAAGGCCTTTTTGGTTGATAGATTGAAATATAAGCTCCCTTTCTTAGTTCGAATTATGGGCTGACCTTTTAATTCGTGTACATTGGTCGTTTTTTATTTATTGTTCCTTTCAAGTGAAAGTCCAGTTTAATTTACCACTCTTTATCTCTCCATATTTTTTTCTCCAAAGTTGAAAATTTCAAAGAAAATTTGGTTCTTTTTGTACCTTGTTGGTTGTAGGGAAGATTAACACCATAAACGTTACTCGGTGAGATTTTTCTTTTGTCCTTGGTGTAGTCTTTCTAATTTATGTTTTGAAATATTTAAATCATCGTTGTAGCCTTTTCCTTTTGCTAATGGGTATCAAGGTCTGGGGTGTCACTTCTCGCATACTTTTGATATATTTTTTGCGATGGTGATGGACGTTTTATCATTAATTCTCTCTTTTGAGGTAAACACGGAGTGATTTGTTTGTCTGTTTGCCTTTTTCCCTCTCACTATGTTGTGGAATATTTGGTTAGAATGGAGCAGGGGAACTTTTTTGGATTGATGGTTGAAGGAGGATGTTCAGAGTTGGAGTTGGCGCGTGTAATTGCTATTCGAACCACCAAGCGCTGCACTCCTTTTCGTAGTTTTTCTTGGTTGGCTTTTTTGTTCATGAAGTAGGTTATATCCATATTTAGTCTCTATACTTTGAGACTTGTGTTTATTTGATTCTTAAACTTTCTCAGTGCCTAATAAGTTCTTAAACTTTCGATTTTGTGTATAGTAGATTTGTAAATTTTTAAAAATCGAAAGCTTAGGTAAATATGTAATTTTATAAGTTTAGGGACTAAATTGACTCAAAACTCAAAGTTTAGAAACTAAATTTGTAATTTAACTTATTAATTACTATTATATTTTCGTGATCCATACTTTAATTTATCTTCACAAAAATTTGTTTGGTTATAAGAAGGAAAAGCGAGTTTTACTTGTCCTCTTCTGCGCTGCTGCTTGTAATATTTTTCGTAATTAATAATTTTTTGATTGGAAGTATTGAAAAGTAATTTTATTATAAGGTTAGACATTAATTTGAGACTTCTAATTCCATTTTATAGATGTTTTTACTGATGTTAGTACTAAGCTTATATTTTCCCCCATTTTGCAGAAGGGTCAAAGAAAAAGAAGAAGAAAAATAAAAGCAAGTGAGAATCATTTATTTTTAGTTGAGCTGCTTCTTGTGTGCATATGCGTTCCCCTACGTCCTGGGATTGCAAGGCTGTCTTCAAGTTTGATATTTTTCTTTCATGAATAGGAAAAAGAAAGAGACGCCTCAACAGACGGATCCACCATCTATTCCGATTGTTGATCTTTTCCCGTCTGGGGATTTTCCGGAGGGTGAAATTCAACAGTACAAGGATGAGTGAGTATAATACTTGGTTTTAATTCTGCACGCTAAGAATTTTCTTGGAAAATTTATTGTTCAAAACGTATATTGTTTCATGAGCAATATATTAAACATGGTATATTTATGACTGTGCATAGCCCTTTTGAATAAGTTTTCCCTTGACCTTCTTCAGTGGGCTATGAGGTTATCGAGCTGCCTTGTCTGTATTTGGGGCTTCCCCTAGGTGGTAATATGAAGATTGTGTTGTTTTGCAGCCTAGTAGTGGAGAAAATCTGGAAAAGGCTTTCTTCATGGAAAAAAATCTTTTTCTCTAAGGGAGAGAAACGCACCTAGATTCGGTCTGTGTTCGAGTTGGATCCCTGTTTATTTCCCTTTCTTGTTTAGAATACCATCTCTGGGTGTAACAACATAGAGAGCCAATTGAGGAATGTCTTATAGATTGGAATTTAAGAGGATGGGTGATCCCACTGAGTTAGATGGGAGGTTGTCTCAATGTCCGTGGAGGTGGGACGTTTAGGCATTAGTAGACTGTGATTATGAAATGAGGAATTGTTGGCAAAATTGCTGTTGAAATTCTCCAAGAATCAAATGTCTTGTGGCGTATGAATACGATGTATGATTGCACTCTTATGAGTGGACTCCTGGTGGTGGGTTGAAAGAGTTCAGTAAAAATCTATGGACTGCTATTGTAATGATTGCTATTGTAACAATCCAAGCCCACCGCAAGCAGATATTGTCCTCTTTGGGCTTTCCCTCAAGATTTTTAAAACGCGTCTTCTTGGGAGAAGTTTCCACACCCTTATAAAAAATGCTTCGTTCTCCTCCCCAACCGATGTGGGATCTCACAACCATTGCCTCAAGCTGCATTTCCCCTAGTTTATAAAGTCCCTTTGGTTGGAAAGTCTTACATGGGAGAGTAAACACCCATGATTGAATCCAATGACATTCTACCTTAGTTTTGTGTCCTCAATGGAGGATCTGGATTATCTTTCGTGGGGTGCTTGTTTGTCTACTCCGTCTAAAATCAATGCTTTAGTTTGTTTAGTGTTACCGTGGTGCATAATTGGGATGACCACTCTTTAATTGATAAAATACTGGTGAATCCTCATTTTTGAGATAAGGAGAGGGTTACGGTATGCCTGTTGTTTTGCTATCTTGAGGGGAGTGTGGCTAGAGAGGAATAGTAGAATTTTTAGAGGGGTGGAGGATTCTTTGGAGGTGGTGAGATTTAGTGCGTCGTTATGGGCATCCGTTATCAACTTGGTTGTATTCTTTTGGATTAAAGTCTTGGATTGAAGTCGTTTCCTGTAGTTGAGGGTTCATTTTGTGGGCTTAGTTTTGTATGTCCTTGTACATTCTTTCATTTTTTCACAATGAAAGCTCGGTTTCTTACTATAAAAAAAGTTCGTCCATGTGTACTTTATTGAGTCTAAAAGCAAGAAACCTTTTGTTAACAAAGAGACTTGCAGAACAAGAGGGGATTGGTTGTCCAACCATTCATGAACAGAATAATGGAGAATTCTAAAAGTTCTTCGTTATGCCACGATACGATACAAAAGTTAAAAGGGCTATTCATCAAAACCTTGTAGTGTCTAGAAACTTAAAGGTAGCTATGCGGATTCTTTATCGAAGTCATCGATATCTGACTCCTTGTTATCTACATCAGTAACCTGTGGAGGACTACATCTGAAGAGAAGAGGGAGTTGGAGCGTCTTGAAAAGCCAATGTACAATTCTGTTCGACGAGCAGCTGAAGTTCATCGTCAGGTAATGTAACGTGATCATATTGGTTTTTATGTTGCTACATATCATGGACATGAGATTATTAGTCCAGAAAATCGGGAGGATCTGCAACGCTTTAGAATTACATAACCTTTTTTTGTCCCTCTCATTGCTATTAGGTGAGAAAATACATAAGAAGCATAGTGAAGCCAGGGATGTTAATGACTGACCTATGTGAGACATTAGAAAACACGGTTCGAAAGCTAATATCCGAGAATGGCTTGCAAGCAGGCATAGCATTTCCCACAGGATGTTCTTTGAACTGGTAATATTGGAATCGAATATATATTTTTTCTCGAGTATTTATTGATGGTCTGGGATTCTTTTCTTTCAGGGTTGCTGCTCATTGGACTCCGAACACCGGAGATAAGACCGTGCTTCAGTACGATGATGTCATGAAATTGGATTTTGGAACACATATTGATGGTAAATATTGTGTTTCAGTGACTTTACCGTGTATCTTGTGGATAATAACATATTCCAGGAGTCATTGAAACTGGTTTATTGGTGAGTGCAGGATGCATAATTGATTGTGCATTTACGGTTGCATTCAATCCTATGTTCGATCCTCTACTCGAAGCCTCACGTGAAGCAACGAACACTGGCATCAAGGTAGGATTTGGTAAATGTTTTTCTTATTTATTTATTTTTATAAGAAATTGTGAGATATTTATATTCACTCAAAATCCAAAAGAACAACCTAAGGGTTGAGGGGACCCCTTCTCAAAGCACTACTATAGGAAGATCTTCCAATTGTTATAATCATGAATAGGCTAAGTATAATATATTTTGAGTGTTTTGTGCATCACCAAGAAGCACTATTGAGAATATTAAGACAAAGAGAAGCAAAAGAAGAAAGCTCATGTTCAAAGATTCTTAGATTTCTGTCTGTTCAAAGGGTTCATAGAAAGGGCTCAAGTAACACAACGCCATAAAATTTCCCCTTTTTCTTTTAAAACCGGTCATTGAACACTTCCAAGAGGCAATCATCAAACCTTTTAGGAAGATATGAGGCAACACCGAACTCCTGTGACGGTCAACTGTTTACAGCAGTTGGACAATGAAGGAAGAGATGGTCGAGTGCTTCTTTGTTTCTCAGACAACAAACTAAGGGGGAGTTAGCTGGTGATTATTTAGACACCTTCGGTAACTGTCCAAGCCCACCACTAGCAGATATTGTTCTTTTTGGGCTTTTCCTCAAGGTTTTTAAAACGCGTTTGCTTGGGGGAGCTTTCTACACTCTTATAAAAAATGCTTCGTTCTCCTCCCCAACCAATGTGGGATCTCAGAATTCACCCCCCTTTGGGGTTCAGCGTCCTCGCCGACACTCGTTCTCCTCTCCAATTGATGTGGGATCTCACAATCTACTCACCTTTGGGGCCCAGCGTTCTCGTTGGCACTCGTTTCTCTCTCCAATCAATGTGGGATCTCACAATCCCACCCATCTTTGGGGTCCAGTGTCCTCATTGGCACATTGCTTGGTGTCTGGCTCTAATACCATTTGTAACAACCCAAGCCCACCGCTAACAGATATTATTATCCTCTTTGGGCTTTCCCTTTCGGGCTCCCCTCAAGGTTTTTAAAACGCATATGCTAGATGGAGGTTTCTATATTTTTATAAAGAATGTTTCGTTCTCCTTCCTAACCGATGTGGGATCTCACACCTTCTCTCTCTTGCTCGCCAAAAAATTAATCTTAATGAAAGTTCTGTTCATTTTTCTTTTTACTGAATTACACAGCCATATTGGATGAAAATATTTGCAGTTAAAACAACTATTTATCAAGTTACTATCAAAGAATGCAATCCAACTATGAAAAAAGTAAGATAGATTATACTTATTCTGCATTTGTTTATTCGCTTAAAGATTGCATTACAAATGCACTAGACTTCGATTTATTGATATTTCAAATGAATTTGGTGGTCGAATCCCCTACTAATAAACTTGCTTATTTTTTTAGGAGTCTGGAATCGACGTACGACTTTGTGATGTTGGTGCTGCAATCCAGGAGGTCATGGAGTCATACGAGGTTGAAATTAATGGAAAGGTGTATCAAGGTATTGTATTTCATTTGTCAAGTTAGCCCGAACACTCATAAATATAAAAGGCAAAAAACTAATCCATAGTGACAAAGAATTGGGAAATCAACTTCAAAGTACCTGACGGTAGGCTATACAGAGAGTGTTGAATCTCAGCTATTCCAAAATCCGTCCCATCTTCCTACTCGGCAGCTTTGAACATTTTGGTCTTTATCTTATGAAGCCTTTCCTACATCATTAAAGCATGTTAGCTAATGGATTGTGCATTTTAGAATATATTGTAATGAGCAACCTTTTTTCGTTTTCAGTAAAAAGCATTCGAAACTTGAATGGACATAGCATTGGTCGTTACCAGATCCATGCGGGTAAATCCGTTCCTATTGTGAAAGGGGGGGAGCAAACCAAAATGGAAGAGGGTGAATTCTTTGCAATTGAAACTTTTGGATCAACTGGTAAGAATTTATGCAAGTTTGGCAGTAATTGTTATGCATAACAGATTGCTCTTGTTGATACTGCGGATCATCTATGTTTTATCCAGGGAAAGGATACGTTAGAGAAGATCTTGAATGTAGCCACTACATGAAGAACTTTGACGTTGGCCATGTTCCACTGAGGTTGCCAAGAGCCAAGCAACTGTTGGCGACCATTAATAATAACTTCTCGACGTTGGCATTCTGCAGACGGTATTTGGATCGTCTCGGGGAGACTAAGTATCTTATGGCATTAAAGAATTTGTGTGATTCTGGCATCGTTCAGGTGCTCCTCTTCTACCCTTATTAGCTTTATATCCTTGACATGATATTAAGAGATGAATTAGTGTAAATCAGCTTGTAATTTTCTTGTTTCCCTTTTCATAAAGAGGACAGTTTAAATCTAGTTAGTGTGCACCGACTAGGAACCTCGACTCTCCACAATGGTATGTTTGTTTAAATCTAGTTAACCTCGTGACTTTGTTTTTTTGTTTCTCCAAAAGACCTCATACCAATGGAGATGTATTCCTAAACTCAACAATCCTCCTCTCGAACAAAGTACACCATAGAGCCTATCCAGAGGCCTATGGAGTCCTCGAATAGCCTTCTCTTATTCGAGACTTGACTCCCTTTTTGGAACCCTCGAACAAAGTACACCATTTGGTCGACACTTGGTCACTTTTGACTACACCTTTGAGTCTCGCAACTTCTTTGTTTGACATTTGAGGATTTTATCGACATGCCGAGTTAAGGGCATGGCTTTGATACCATGTAAGGAACCTCGACTCTTCACAATAGTATGATATTGTTCATTATGAGCATCAGCTCGTTTTTCCAAAATGCCTCGTACTAATGAGATAGTATTCCTTAATTCTTTGATATGATTTTGATTCTGATGGTGCGTGTGTTTTGGGTGCTTTTAGCAAAATTGATGTTTTGTTAATAATTCTCAACAGGCCTACCCACCATTATGTGATAACAAGGGGAGCTATGTTTCTCAGTTTGAGCATACCATTTTACTGAGGCCAACCTGCAAGGAAGTGATATCCAGAGGAGAAGACTATTGATAATGCTTAGTGCTAATCTGAAGCTTCCGATATAACAATGGCTTCCAAGACAGTGCAATATGTTTGAAATGGAGTCTTTCCTCTACACACTTTAAAGGCTTATCATCAATACATAAATGGTCAATTATTAAGTGTTATTCAGTGCTACTCTCGAGTGTATGAGCCTTCTTACATTATTACAGACCATCTTAAGTTGCATCTTTTTGAATGAACAATATTTATTTTTGTTAAGTTATAGACCAAATATGCTTGTAATCGAACTTTTTAATTTTTCTAATCTTCAATAATCAACGATTATCTTCGATCATCAACATTTTCCATGATGAAATAGACTTAGGATTAGAGGCTAATTTCTCATAGGAGTTTGAGTTAAACTAATGTATTAATGCATACTTTATATTATGTATAAAGTAACTTTATAATTTCTAATTTTAAATGAGGTTATAACGTTTTCATTAGTTGAATTATATTCAAAATTATATTCAAATTAGCTCGCATCTTTAATTTGGTTAATTTGGTGGATAATATACTAATTATTTTTTTTCTTTTGAGTTCAACTTCAAATTTATGATCATTTAACAGAAAAAAAATTTACTAGATTATTTTTTAAAAAAATCTTACATCTATTATACACCCTATTAAATAATTAAGTTATGTTTAATAAGATTTTTTATTATTTTTTAATTTTTATCAATTAAGTTTATGAAAAATATATATACTTTTTGTTTGGTTATCTATTTTTTTTTTAATATTTTTAAAATAAATCCGGTTTTGATTTTTTTTTAAAAAATTTTGATTATGAAATTAAATGTAATTATGGTAAAGAGTTTGTAAAAAAATAAGTATAATTTTAAAAAATCGAACATTACCCAATTAAAATGGAAGGTTTTAGGACACGAAATTTAATAGATTAATTAATTTTTAAAAATTGTGAATATATATAGATATATATAAATTAATAGTTCATACAATTTCCAAAACCAATACAAATTACTGAACTCGGTAACAAGTTTGTGATCATAAAGATTGGAACTTTTAACGAAGATTCCAAAACTGACTCGCTTCTACTGCTCTCTTCTTCGCCAGAAAATTCACGCACCCATTGGTGTTTCTTCTTCCAAAATCACGTATATAAGGGGTTTCTGCAGATCAATCAGGGCCTCCGTCTGCGTTCAATTGCCAACTATGGGGTTGGGTTCCTTTGCTTCCAGAGTTCTCAGGCCTTCTTCCAGGCTTCTTGCCTCCCGAAACCCTAGAATTCTCCTCCATTTTCGACCCATTGTCTCCACCACTGAGCTTCACAACGCTGATGCCTCCCCCGCCCAACCCCAGGCTGATCCTGCCCCGCCTCCTCCTCCTCCTCGTACCCCCGTCGGTGGCGCTCGCGTCCATTTTTCCTCTCCTGAGGACGCCATCGAGGTCTTCGTTGATGGGTACCCTGTCAAAGTCCCTAAGGGTATGACGGTTCTTCAGGCCTGTGAGATCGCTGGGGTTGACATTCCTAGATTTTGTTATCACAGTCGCCTCTCGATCGCTGGGAATTGCCGTATGTGTCTTGTTGAAGTCGAGAAATCCCCCAAGCCCGTTGCTTCCTGCGCCATGCCCGCTCTTCCTGGTAATTTTTTTTTTTTTTTGCAATTTGTCTTTGTATTGGATTTCTAACATAGGACGAGTTAATTGACTTAGCTTGAATATGGCTTTCTTAGGTTTCCATTATGTAAATTGATGAAGGATTAATTGACATCTGCCTGTTGTGCATATGATATCCTGTTTGTATATGTGTCAATTAGAGCAATCGCCATTATCTAGCGTGCTTTTCTTGTTTTATCTTGTGCTTGACGTTGTTCTTCCGCTATCAGGATCATTAAGACAGTAACGGTGATTTTCTTTCTGGATATAGCTTTGCTATTTCATAGTCCACCTTTTCTGGTTGAGTTTGTTTCATTTCTACGTGTGGATGATTATTTGCTTATGTGCAGGATACTCTGTTTCATCCATTTAAGGCGATACTGAGATTCTTAAAGAGTTTAGTTTTCGAATTGTTATATGGCTTATGCGGTGTAATCATGAGTGATGAATGAGATAATAATTTCAGAATGGTAGCTCTTTGTCTTATCTATCTAAAAGGATGCATGGTTTGATTTTGTGTGGAAAAGGTAGTAATTTATCTGAGTAATCTCCTTTCTAGGAATGAAAATTAAGACTGATACCCCACTGGCAAAAAAGGCTCGAGAAGGAGTTATGGAATTCTTGTTGATGAATCATCCATTGGATTGCCCAATTTGTGATCAGGGTGGAGAATGTGATCTTCAGGATCAGTCTATGGCATTTGGGTCTGATCGTGGGCGGTTTACTGACGTGAAGAGATCAGTGGTTGACAAGAACCTTGGTCCTCTAGTGAAAACTGTAATGACACGATGTATTCAGTGTACCAGGTCAGATTTTGTAGCTTACACATTCTCTGGAGGAAAATTATTTGATTTAAACCATTTTTTTTTTGGAAACTCCAAATGGAATAATTTCAACGTAAGTAGTTACATGAAAATTGAATTTGGAACATTTGTCTAAGTGTTCTTTGTTTGAATAGCCATACCATGTAAAGTGTCTGGCTTTTAAGAAGGCGATATTTGAATCCTTAGTATTTTGTTTTTCCTTCTATATATCTGAGTAGAACTCTACTCGTCTTTTATCCTTAGTATTTTGTTTTTCCTTCTATATATCTGAGTAGAACTCTACAAGTTGCTTATCAAGTTATCATAGAACTCCAAATAGATTTATTTACTCTTTTATCAAGTAGCAACTCCTCTCGCTTTATTTCTTGAATAATAGTCGCTTGAGATTCATCTTTTGATTGCTTCATCTACTACAAATTTTCTAATCACCCGTTACAATTATCCATTGCACCGAATTCAGTTCTTACAGGTCCTTCCTGGTATTCCATGAGTAAATTACTTGTTACTCTACGAGAGGTTTTAACATGCTCATTGTCTGCATGATTAACTTAGAAATAAGATTTTTAGCCTCTACAACTTCAGAATTCTTCTGTCATTCATATTCGTCCCCTCCCCCCTCTTTGCTTCTAAAACTTATAAAAATGTTCACAAAATATCACTCTCTTTTTTAATGATCATGAGTATTGTCCTGATTTGTTTAGCACACATTTGCCAATCTCAAGAGACAATTTGGATAATATTGTTTTTTTTTTTTACTTGCCCCGATGACCACTAGGACATAGATTTTTCCAGATTTACAAGCAATAAAAAGTGGTTTTCAAGATCAATTTATTTTTTCAAAATTTGGATACAATCTCAATGTATATATATTTTGTAAATTTTATAACTATACAATGATACTATTAGTATAAAAGCTGAATTTTTAAAGATACTAGAAGTAAAAAAGATTAGTAAACAAGCTAGAATTATCTGGGCCAACACTATGGTGGCCTTACTGTGGAGCATATGGTGCATAAGAAACAAATAAGTTTTTCAAGTGAAAGACTCACCTTGTGATGTTTTTATGGACCTTGATGAGAACTTGGAATTTTGCTTCTACTTGGTCTCTAATCTCAAAAGTTTTTTGTTTATATAATTGATCCTAATCTTTGCCAGTTAGAAATCCTTTCTGTAATCCCCTTGGTTGGTGGGGATGCCTCGTCTCATTTTTGTTCTTCAAAAATAATACTTCTTTTTTAATAAACAGAAAATTATGAACCTTAATGTTTATTAACGCTGCTCTAGTTCTGGTTTTTCTGTAACTGGTCTAACATTCTATCATTACTAAAATTTCTGATTTGACGAACAATTTTCCTTCCTTCAGGTGTGTAAGATTTGCTACAGAGGTTGCTGGGGTACAAGATCTAGGCATGTTAGGTCGTGGTAGTGGTGAGGAAATTGGGACTTATGTCGAAAAGCTAATGACTAGTGAGCTATCGGGGAATGTCATTGATATTTGTCCAGTGGGAGCATTGACCTCGAAACCTTTTGCGTTTAAAGCCAGGAATTGGGAACTGAAGGGTACAGAGACTATTGATGTTACAGATGCTGTTGGATCCAACATTCGAATTGACAGCCGTGGTCCAGAGGTTATGCGTATCGTGCCTCGGTTAAATGAGGTAGCTTTTGGATCTGTCATACCTAGTATGCTCACTTACTTGTGCCAATTGTATATCACTATGGAATGCCCATTTGCTGAAGCTGAAGAATGTATTTTGCATATTTGTGATTGACTACCAACTTTGTTGTTTGTCTCTTTTTTCTTTCATGTGATCCTGTCCGTAGGAAAGAACTTGTCGGTAAATAAATGGAAGGTCAGAAAAGCAGGGGCTATGCCCCAAACACCAAGTGGCTCTTTGCTGGAGGATTTCTCCCTTAGGAATAGGAATGGGGTCTTGAAACCTATCCCCCATTTCTGGGAGAAACGGAAATATATGAACCTTAATGACTTGAGAATACTCTATTACAATAGGCTTGGTTTTCATCCACCTAATCTTATAGACACTTCCCTATTCCATTTTTCTGCTATAGCTATCACTCTTATTTAATAAGGCTAATTAATTATAATTAATATAATTCCTAAGCTAAGGGTTTTGCTAACTACAGCGGAGGATTGACGACCTATGGAATTTAATATTTACTATTAAGGAGCTTCCTAGAATTTACAATTTGTCTGTTAGATATATCTATAAACGTTTTTAATTCTTGAATATAATGCAAAGTTTAATTTCAAAATATATGAATAAAAGATCAGATGTGAAGTTGGGTCTTTCCCTTCTTTTTACTTGGGACTCCCTTACGGTTGTAACCTTAGATGTTTTTCTCTTTGTGATCCTGTAGTGGAGAAGATCTAGAGACGTTTATCCTTGTGAAAAAGAATTTTTTTTCTCTAGGGGAGAGAGACTTACTCTAATAGAATCGGTCCTTAGTGGAATCCCAATTTATATCCTATCTTCTTTTAGGATCTGAGTGGAGGTGGTGTGCAAACCCCCGGGAAGACTTATGAGAAACTTCTTATGGGAAGGGATGGAGGAAGGAAAAGGGTCAAATTTGGTGGATTGAGATGTGGTGGCTAGACTGATGGAGTTTGGGAGTTGGGTATAAGGAATTTATGGGCGAGCAACAATGCCTTGTTGGTGAAATGGTTGCTGTGCTTCCCTTGGGAGGTTGATATTTTATGGCAGAAGGTAGTCGTGAGTAAACAACGGTCCCATTTCTACAAATGGTTTTCCAAGGGGG